TTAGTACTTGGATGGGAGACCACCTAGGAAGACCAGGTGCTGTAGGCTAAAAAATAAAAAAAAATAAGGGATTGTAAGCTGACAAGGTCCTTGCAACCTGTGAGGTCAACCAAGGGTTGCCTCGCCTAAAAATATATATAATAAAAAATAAAAGAGGGGCCAAACATCGACAGGGACTAAACAATCATTAGCTCTGTACTCAAGTACCGGGAGTGATTCCTGGGGGGCTCGGAGGGTGCTCACCAGCGACGGGCATCGGCGACGTCCGCGTGAGCGCAGGGTTTCCGCGGTGGGAGCGCAGGGTTTCCGCGGTGGGAGCGGGCGTCTGAGGCCGCCGCGGAGAGGGCTGCGAAGGGCCCCGGCGCCCAGGCAGCGTGCGTGGGGGGCAGAGTGGAAGCCGCCTCCCCCGCCCCCACAGGTCCAACCAGCCCAGTCACAGCAGCTCTGCCTCTCCCGTCTTAGGACTTCTGCTCTGGGCTGGGAGCTTCCTGGATGGAAGTGGGTGGTTAGAGAGCAGCGGTGCTCCCCACACCTAGGGAGCACATGCCACCCCTGTCCCTGCCTTGTGGTCCCCTTCTCCAAATTCCTTCCCACGGGTCATTCCTCTCTTTCCTAAAGCACGACTGGGCCTGGCCAGGACCGACTGCTCAGGACCAGCCTCCTTTCTGCTTTCTGACACGTGGCCCGCTGGGCCCACAGCACAGGGTTGGGGCCCCCGGGGAGAGGCCGAGGGGTAGGAAGCTTTGCTGTCTTATAGGCGGTCACGGACCTCGGTCTAAGATTCTGGCTCAGAGTTTCACTGCTGGGTTCTGTTTTCACTTGAATCTTTGATTTTCTCGGCCCCACAGACATTTTCAGTGTAAACCCTGCAGTCAATGGGATGGTGGCCAGCATCCCAAAGTATCCCTGAAACCTTCGTCCTACCCTGAGGAAGGAGTAGCAGCTGCCTAGGGGGTTCCTACGCTGCTCCTCTTGGGAGTTCTGGTTGGCAGAGGTTGGGTGAGGCCGGGGCACTCCACGTCTGCACAGAATGCATCTGAGGACGTGTACTTTCAGGAAGATTCCATCCAGGCCCAGGTGGGAAGCATCTGAGTGGCCGTCACGGTTCAGGTGCCAGGTTGGGGATATAAGAGCGACCAGACCCAGACCGGCTTCAGGGAGCATTTGCTCTCGAGAGGGGTGGGGCACATACCTTTGGAGCGAGAAGGGATGAACAGATTGCTGGATCTGCACCCCGCCCCTGGCGTTTGGGGGGCTGGGGACTGTGCATCTCGGAAGACCCCGGTGGTCCTTTGGTGTCCTGGGTCAGCCCTGCCCAGGGGAGGAAACAAGCTCTGCCCCGGTTCCCCCTTTCCTGCCACTGCTCACGCCCTCCGCCCAGCTTGAGGTCTGGTCTTCCATTTTCCTCTCTCCCTTCACCCCCAGGTCCCATCCCAGCCTGGAGCTCGTTTCCTCCAGCAACGCCCCATCCCTGCTCCCTTCTCCATTCCCGCTGCTTCTCAGTCTGACTCCCGGCTCTCAGTCCACCCTCCCCCGCTACCCCGCGCAGAGCTGATTTCTACTCTCTGTGAGTCACAGCGTCAAAGACTTTCACGATCTGATCCCCAAACCTTTACCAGCCTCATTTCCACTGCGGTGGTCTCTAACTCAGCCAACCCTAAAAAGGCAGGCTAGCCCGGTGGTGGTGGTGGGGCCGTGTCTTTCTGCCTTGGTTCAGGTCTTTGATCCAACGCTTATTAGTCGCGAGACCTCAGGCGAGTCACGTCCCTGGTTACGACCACAACTTCTCACTGGTTACGACCACAACTTCCTCACCCGAGGATAGTTGGCAGAGTTCACAATAAATCGAGGCTGGGGGGGTCAGTGGAGAGAGAATCGGTGAAGCCCTGAGTAAAGCACCTGGCCTAGAATGCGCTTTTGCAACGTTAGCTGTGCACACGGGCACATTGTCCCCACCTTCTGGGACGTCCAGCTCCCGCCCCACCCCTCCCAACTACTGGCCGAGGGCCCGAAGGCCTCACTCCTGGTTCCGTCTTTATTCCCTTCTAAAGCATTATTCACACTTAGCTTCCTCTTTTGTTTTTCTTGGCTTTTTGCCTCTCCAGATGAGAGGCGAGATCTGGTCCTGTCTGCTTACATGGGCCTCTGTGTGACATATAGTGCTGTGTATACAGAGGACATCCAGTAAATGCTACTGGGTCGCAAATGGCTGAATCTGATTGGGTTGATTTTCACCAAAGGACAGTTCCACGAAGTAGTGCCAGGATAAGTTACATGCCCTGGGGTTTCCTTGGGACAGTAGCTGGCGGAGGAGGCGAATGGCAGCATACCCCTGAGTCCTGGGGCCACAGGTCTCCCCCCGACACCCCTCTGTGTGCCTCAAATACCGTGGTGGGTCTGACTGTGCAGGGCGTGGCTCAGGGGTAGAAGTGGCAGCTGGCGGAATGTTCTACCCGGAAGCATAAAGGGGAAGGGGGCTTTTGCGACCAAGCGTTTTTGCTTTTTGTTTTTAACAGCTTTACTGGGGTGTATTTTACATCTCACAAAACTCCCCTGTTTCAGGTGTACAAACTCAATGATTTTTAGTAACTTTACCCAGTGGTGCAACTATCTCTGCAAATCAGATTTAGAATATTTTCATTCCCCGCCCCCCTAAAATGATTCCTTATGTCCATTTTTACTATAGTTAATCCTCATTCTCACCCCAGCATCAGGCGACCACGATTCTACTTTCTGTTTCTGTAAATGTGCCTTTTATGGACGTTTCGTGCGAGTAGAATCATAGAATAATATGTGGGGTCTTGTGTGTGGCTTTTTTTTTCACGTGGCATAAACGAGGCTCATGCATCTTGTCGTGCATATCAGTAGTTCCTTTTTATTGCCAAATACCATCGCGTTGTATAGACATAACACGTTTCGTCTAGCCATTCACCGGTTGTCGGTTGGTCATTCAGATTCTTTCCTCTTTTTGGCTGTTCTGAATTATGCTGCTATGAATATCCATGCAGGAGTCTATATGTGGACACATATTTTTATTTCTTTAGGGTATATTTTTAGAAATGGACTTGCTGGGTCACTTGCTAACTCTGCGTTGAACATTTTGGAAAACCGCCAACCTGTTTCCCAAAGTGGTTCCAGCGTTTTACATTCTCAGCAATACATGAGGGTCCCCGTGTCTCCACATCCTCGCCAACATTCGTCATCCTCTTTTAGTTATTATAACTGTTCCAGTGGGTGTGAAATAACAATCATCTCGTTGTGCTTTTAATTTACATCTCCCTAATGACTAATGATGTTGAGCATCTTTTCATGTGCTTGTTAGACAGTCAAGTATCTTCTTTGGAGAAATGTCTGTACGTAACTTTTGCCCATTTTTTAATTGGGTCGTTTGTCTTCCTGTTATTGAGTTGTCAGAGTTCTTTATAAATATTTTCTCCCAGATTGTTGATCATGTTTTAATTTTAACTGTCTTTTGAAACACAAATGTTTTGAATTTTGATAAGTTCAATTAACCTTTATTTTTTATTTATGGACGATGCTTTTGGTGTCATAGATAATTAATCTTTGCCTAACCTAAGGTTGAGAAGTTTTTCTTTTGTGTTTTCTGCTCAAAGTTTTCATGTTATTTCTCTTACAGTAAATTTTGTGATCCACTTAGAGTTAATTTTTGTGCATGGGGTGAGGTAGGGCTCTAAATTTATCTTTCCGTGTGTGGATATCTAATTGTGCTAGTGCCATTTGTTAAACTACCCTTTCTACCAACTGTCTTAGCATCGTTGCCAAAAATCAATTGACCGTAAATGTAAGAATTTACTTCTGGACTCTCAATTCTGTTTCATTGATCTATATGTCTATCTTTATGCTACTACCAAACTGTCTTGATAACTGCAACTTTATAGTATGCTTTGAAATTAGGAAGTAAAATTCCTTCAGCTTTGTTCTTTTTCAAAATTGTTTATGGCTATTCTATATAAATTATATAAAAATAAGTTATAAGTCATAAAATTATTTGGACTATTTTATGTAAATTTATTTATTTATTCTATATGAAGTTTAGAACCTGCTTATCAACTTCTGCAAAAAAAAAAAAAAAAAAAGCCTGCTGGAATTTTGATAGACATTGAATGGTTTCTCTATATCAATTTAGGGAGAATTATCTTCTTAACAATATTGAGTCTTGTAAAGCATGAACATAAATGTCTCTCCATTTATTTAGAGCTTTAATTTCCTTCAGCAAGGTTTTGCAATTTTTAGTGTACCAACCTTACATTTTTTGTTAAATATTTTTCTTAGTATCATTCTCTTTGATGTTATTATGAATAGAATTGTACTTTAATTTCATTTTTGGATCATGCAATGCTCATATGCAAAAAATAGAATTGATTTTTGTATATCAATCTCGTATCCCGTGACCTCATACTTGTTTATTAGTTCTGATAGCATTTTGTGGACTCTGTCGGATTTTCCACGTAGAGGAGCATGCCGTCTGCAAATAAAGACCGTCTTACTTCTTCCTTTCCAGTCTGAATGCCTTTTATCTATTTATTTTCCTTGCCTTATTGCTGTGGCCAGGATCTCCAGTACTAACTTGAATAGGAGACGTGAGAGGGGCACCCTTGCATTATTCCTGATCTTAGGGTGAGAGTGCCCGACCTTTCACCATTTTAATGTGATGTTCACTGTAGGTTTTTCATAGATGCCCTTTACTAGGCATCCATATGGTTTTCAAGAGCTGTGAGCAAATCTAGTTCAGCCTCCTCCCTAATTACATAGATTCCAGCAACAAAGGCAGGCTTGGCAAGAGAACCAGTCTTTCCGTTACAGGAATGAATGGCAGTAGCTCAGGTGCACTGACCCATCTGGTACACCACTTACCGCGGCTACTGGCAAGGAGTCAGGTGCATTTTCCTTAGTTCCTTTGGCGTCCCCTGTGGAGATGCTTATAGACAATCTAGAGGCAACTGGATTCTAGGCTGGACTTTGCCGCTACTCAACAGTTAGTTGCTCAGCCTCCTCGAGAGCCAGTTTCCACATCGGGAGCAATAATTCTCCTGCCCACCTCCCAGGTTCAAGTGGGACAAGGCAGGTAGAAGAACCCCATAAACGAATGCATGGGATCCTCATCATTTTTCTAGGAGTGGAAAGTGTGTCAATCACAGGAAGAAAACCCCGAGGCTCTGATCGTCTCCTCTAACTTACTAAGAATCGCGGCCCTCTGGCCAGGACAGAGTGCTTACTAGGCCAGCAAGACACCTGCACCTGAGGAGAGTGGCCTGACTTTGCCACAGAATGGGCAGGGAAGGGGGGCGGAGGGGAGCAGAGAGAATGGAGGAGTCTGGGAAAGTCCGTTGGAGGGTGAGGCAGTCTCTGCCACGGGCAGTGCTTAAACCCTTACTCCTTTGCCTTTCTCCCAGGACTGTGTCTGGCCGCCTCCAAGAGAGGCCTTCGATGGTGCAACGTATCCAAAGCAGAGGCAGCAAAATGCAGCAAACTCCGACGGAATTTGAGAAAAGTGAATGGCCCCCTTATCTCCTGCTCAAGGAAAGCCTCCCACAAGGACTGTATCCAGGCCATCGCGGTAAGTCGGCGCCATGAGTTGGGTGGGACCAAGCTGAATGGAGGGGAAGGGAAGGAATGGAGCAAAACAGAACATGTGCTGTCTCCTCGACTCCCGGCTTTTATTCCCGGGGTGCCTGTCAGGGGACAGCAGTCCTCTCTTGTAGGACACAAGGCTATTTAGAAAGAAGTGAAGAGACCATAATTTGTTGATAACAGCTATGTAATAATGACACTTCAGAGGTCATATAGGATGAACTTGTAATACTGACAAAAGCCAAGATCATTTCCTCTAAACCCTGAGAAAAATAAACTCAGCCAGTCATCGTCCCCATGTCACATTGCGGGGGAGGGCTTGCCAGGGCACTGGGCGTGGGGAAGATGTTTTCAGAGAGAGAAAAAAGGGAATCGTGACTTGTGGATGATTTCAGATTCCTTTTGTTTTTTGAGACAAAAAAATCTACTGAAATAATTTTGACTTATTCACGCAACAGACGTGTTCTCTGTGCCATGGTGCGTGTACTTGACTCTGGCAAAGAGCGCGTCATCTGTGTAAAAGTTTCCAATAAGACCTAGGGTTACCGAAACAGTATTGAGGGGAAAAATCTAGTTTGAGCGATATTTTAGGGTATTATTTTACAATCATGGCCTGTGGACATCATTTCCTGCTGGTTTAAAATGCAGATTCTTCAGCCCTATTCTGTCCTATTCAACGTGAATATCTGTGAATGAGTTCTCAAAATCTACCTTTTAACCAGCGTCCCATTTGAAACCAGTTCTATATACCATACATCAAAATAAAGTTGAGGTAGATTAAATAGTTAAAAAGAAAATGGATATTATTGAAAAACTAGAGGAGATATTAATTAGCAGAACCACAGCAGAAAGAGAAATCTCTTAGTTTGTAGCAGCAATGAGCTAAATCATTCAGTAAACTGACAGATTTAAAAATATAAACGATTTAATTCATAGCCAGTCAAAACATTTAAACAAAAATTTTCGAAAGCCCCAGAGTAAATATGCACCAGCTCTGACAAGTGATTCTTATTTTCATTCTGCAAAAAAACTAATTCAAATGGGCAAGAAATGCAGGATCACATGAGAAAAATGATATAAACAGAGTATTCATCATAGGGAATTCATAATCGATAAAAATATTTACGAAATGTTCCTCTTAATAATCAGACAAATGCGAATCTAAGCAATTCGTTAGCATTTGCGTTTTCTAAAGTAATAACACTTAATAAAATGAAAGCCTATCCTGCTGGTGATTCTATAGTGAAACTTACGCTCGGGGTCAGTGGCATTCTAAATTGGCATTACAAATTTTCTGGTGACAGCAGCTAATAAATAAACATAATTATTGTCTGGGTGATTTCACAGATGCCTATCCCGTGACAACAGGTCATCAGAAGGGAAAAAAGCAATGAGGACAAAGCTATCCGTGAACACGTAGTTTTAACGGCAAAAAGTCAGAAATAACCCAATTGCTAAACATTTGGGGGAATTATTTAATATATTATGGAACAACAACATTATAATAAAATACTGTGAAGTCAGTAAAATCAATAAGGACTCTGTAGAAGAAAATATGTACAATTTTCGATGAATAAAGCAGCCCACAAAATATTATCTTTACCAGATTGCAAATACAAGAAATATGTAAGCATGTGAGCAGTAATATACCAAAGAAGATGAACATGGTTAATTATGATAACTTTAAGATACCTTCATAGTTAAATTTTCTATCCAATAAAAAAGAACTTGGAAGAAATAAATATAGAGCGAAAACAGGGAAGAAAGCCTCCAGGACAAACGACTTTAAATATAAATGACTGTGAAGAGTGTGACCAACAGAGGGAGGCCATGTGCCAAGCTCAGGAGGTAAAGCAGTTGGATTGGTGCTCGTTGTCCCAAAAGAGGGCCCTGTGGCCTGTGCCACCTCTCATAGGATGTGAGTGAACGTGACCAAACGCTAACTCTTCTGCAGATCTTTGCAGCCATGGAGCCTCATGACGTGTGATAGCCACTCTCCTGGGTTAGGGCGGGCTTTCCCCTGAAGCTGGTCTGGCCTCTTTGCTTTCAGGAAAACAAGGCAGATGCTGTGGCCCTCGATAGCAGATTGCTGTTTGAGGCGGTCATGGAGCCCTACAATCTGCGACCTGTAGCAGCAGAGTTCTATGGGACTGAAGAGAGTGAGTTCTCCCTGAGAACCCAGTGCTGGGGTGGCCGAGGCCTTGACCCTGGCCTCTACGGAGTCAGAGTGGATGAGTCGCAGAGCTGGGGTCTCTTGCAGGGGGTGGAGTCACTGGGCTCTTTGGGCCAGAGGCTGATCCACTGGGTGAGGACACTGTATGCTCTCTGGACAATCAGGCACAAGGGCCCCTGTCCTACGACAGGCTTTGTCAAGGTGGGCTGTTTTTCTCCCTTGGGTCCAGGCCAAGAGCTTTCAATTCTCTCTGTCCCTTTGTTGAGCCAGAAACCCACTTTTATGCCGTGGCCGTGGTGAAGAAGGCCAGCTCCTTCCTGCGGAACCAAGTGAAAGGCGTGAAGTCCTGCCACTCGGCCTTCAACAGCTCTGTCGGGTGGGACATCCCTATCGGCACGCTCCGTCCGCTCCTGAACTGGGCAGGGCCATCTGAGCCCCTTCAGAAAGGTGACATGGCTGGGGGATTGTGGATGATCTCAAGCAGGGGTCTCTACTCCAGTTCATACCTAGCCAGCCACCTCGGGACCACACAGTCACATGCGGGGTGACTCCAAGGTGGGGGTGAGGTTGACACGCTTGACATGCCTTGGCGGGGTTCGCTGCACGGGCTGCCCTTGGGAGCTGGGGGCTGAGTCTGCTCTCAGCCAAGGTGCGTCTCTGAGCTCCCGACCTCACAACAGAGGCGACACGTCTGGCAGGGTGGAGGGAGGGATGCCCGTGGGAGAGTGCACACTGGGAGGTGTGACCGGCCGTGGCCAGGGCTGGCTCACACTCTGTGGCCCATTTTTCTGTCTTCAACAGCTGTGGGCGAATTCTTCTCTGCCAGCTGTGTTCCCTGCGCGGATGGAACACAGTACCCCAACCTGTGTCAGCTGTGTTCGGGGACAGGGGAAAATAAATGTGCCTGCTCCTCCAACGAACCGTACTTCGGTGACTCCGGTGCCATCAAGTGAGCGAGATAGTCTTCTTCTCCCCGGTGGCCTGAGCACTATATGTCTTCGGGCCCGGAGACCTTTTCTCTGGCTCCAAATAGAGCTCAGCCTGCTAGTACGGGTCACAGAGGAGGTCCAGTCCTCTCACCGCTGTGCGAATAGAGAAACTAAGTCCAAAGAGGTGACGACTTTGCCCACTGCGTGTTCCCTGCAGCCCCCTGGGGCGCACCAGCCTGAGGCGCAGTCACCTCGGTAGTGGCCCCCTCAGTCACCCCAGAGAACCCTGAAACTGGTTTTGTCCCTGTGTTGTCCTGGGGTCCACCTGCTGATTCTGTCCCCTCCCTAACCACAGAAGGACTGAAGGAGTCTTGTCATGAGACAACCAGTCCCAGGCTCCCTGCTGGGTAAGATGGCGGAGTGTCCAGGCTGATTCAGGTCTGCCCTACCTGGACCTCCCCTCCGAGATGGCGGACAGTGAGCCCTGCCCGACCAGCCCCTGTACCCTCTCTGTCCCCATGCTGAGGCCGACTCTGCAACTCTTCTCCCCATCTTGGGCTGGGCTCAGGCGTTTTTGCAGAGGGAGGCTTCCCCACTTCTCTGCTAGCCAGGCCACATTTGCCCACTCAGTCCAGGGAGAAAGAACTTCAAAGGATACTGTACTGAGTCTTTGTCCCCTGGTGTAAAGGCTTCAAAACTCTCTTTTACATAGAAAGACAAAGTTTTTAGTTTGTTAAATGACCAGTTTCCTTTAAAGCTTCCTCGTCCGCTGCTTTTCTCCCCTGCCCGTCACAGACAGCATGCCAGGTCCCTGCCGCGTGCCCTCTGACACGTATTCGCCCTTGCAAAGTGTCCAGTGCTGGTTTAGTTCTGGGTTCAACCACGGCGCTGCCAGGGGTTTCCACCCAGTGTTCTGTTGCAGAGGTTTCTCCGCGTCGTACGTTTCGTTAGGTGACAGTCCTAACTGCAGAGGAATGCTCCATAGGAGGCATCCACCGGATTTCACTTACCTATCACCCTCGTGATGAACCTGGTCATCTCGTCCTGGCCTTGGCCACAGACAGCTCCATGACCCCTGCCCTTATGTGCGTCCTCTCACTGTCCTGCTAGAGAATGCCCCTGAGGGACCACGCACTGAAGCACAGTAGCCGGGGATGTACAGGCTGAACGCATTCCACCTGGGACCCCTGGGGACAGACCCACCACACTCACCCAGGACCTCCAGAGACGGGGCCACCACAGTCCACCTAGGGTTATCGGGTCACGCTCCGGAATTACGCTCCTGCTGGCACTCTGCGACTGTTCCCATTTCCCCACGACGTCAGTTTGGGGTATTTTTGACTTTATACACACACACACACACACACGCACATTTGTGTGTGTATATATATATATACACACACACACACACATATATATATATCTGTCTAAATGATAACTGGAAAGCAATAGATATCTCATTGGTGGTTTAATTTGCATTTCTCTGACAGTTAGTGAGTTTGATCATCTCAATATATCTGCTAGGAATTTGGGCTTCCCTTTTTGATTTCATAATCTTCGACTGCATTTCTATTATGGTTCATGCCTGTTTCTTCACGGTTTTGATTCAAAGATAGGCGTTCCTTCTACCTGGATATCAAGCCATTGTTGGTTCTAGACTTTATGGAGATTTTTTTCTCAGTTGAAAAAATCTATCGATAGCATCCCGTGTTGAACAGAAGTCCTCGATATTGATAGGGTCAAAACCATCTGTTTTGTACTATTGGTTTGTACTTTTGGGGTATTTTAAGATGCCTTCTTTACTCCATATCGTAAAGATTTCCTACAATAAGATTTCAAGACAGCCCCCCAACATATATGTATCCATACGTACTCTACCTAGGAAATTAGATATGCATTGGGAAATTAGATATTTTCCCTTTATAGCAAGACCATTTTTCTTACAAAAACAACTCTAAATTAGACCACTTTTTCTCTACTGACATGGGAAGCCACTGTACATCAAGTTGTATATCCATGGATCATTTTCTGAGCTATTTTGTTTTTTTGGCGCATTTGTATTTTCTGTTTTTATTACCCTGGCTTGTACTGGGTCTTAATATCTGGGAGAGATAAATGGGGAGGCGGTTATCACCCTACACTTTGGTGTTCATTTTTAATTTTTTAAAACTAAAATGTTAGAATTATTTTGTTGAATTTCTGAGAACTTCATACTTTAATTTTAATTATGATTGTTTTGAATTTAAATAGGCTGATGAAAAATTCAATATTTATAATGATAAATTGCCCAAGCCCTGATTATGATAAATCTCCTTAGTTTGATGATACCTCTTTTTATACCTTTCGATTTTATTTAATTTTATATTAGTTTCAGGTGTATAGCAGAGCCGTTAGACATTTACATAAGTTATGAAGTGATCCCCCCCAATTACTCTCAGTCCCCTCCTGGCGTCGAACACGGTTATTACAATATTATTGACTATATTCCCTATGCCGTACTTCACATCCTCATGACTCTCTCCTTAACGACCAATCTGTACTTCTTAATCCCTTCACCTTTTTTACCCCGCCCCCCCCGACCCCCTTCTCATCTAGCAATCACCAGTTTGTTCTCTGTATCTATGAGTCTGTTTTCATTTTGTTTATTTTGTTCCTTAGATTTCACATATAAGTAAAATCATATGGTATTTGTCTCTGCCTGACTTATTTCACTTAGCATAATACCCTCTAGGTCATCCTCTATCCATGGCATTACGAATGATCAGATTTCATTTGTTTCGTTTTTTTTTTTTTTATGGCTGGGTAATAGTCCATTGTATTTATGTACCACATCTTCTTTATCCATTCGTCTACTGATGAGCACTTAGGCTGCTTTCATATCTGGGCTATTGTAAATAGCGTTGCAGTGAGCATAGGGGTGCATATATCTTTTCGAATGAGTGTTTTGGTTTTCTTTAGATAAATACTCAGAAGTGCGATTGCTGAGTCATAAGGTAGTGCTATCCTTAGCTTTTTGAGGAGCCTCCAAACTGTTTTCCATGATGACTGTACCAATTTGCAGTCCCACCAAGAGTGCATGAGGGTTCCATTTTCTCCACATCTTTACCGTCACTTTTTATATCTTTGTTTTCTTTTTAGATCTTTGAGTAGAGCTTGAAAAATTTCTCTTTGTTGGTCTCATGCTTTTTTTTTTTTTTTTTTTTGGTGAGGCTGATTACCATCTATTTAATGGTTTCAGTTGCTATTATAGTATATTATATTCTGTAGTAGTTTCTTTTTTATAGCATCTTTTTAAAAATTTTATTATAGAATCTTTAAATAGAGTTTGTCTTTTTCCTTTCGGCGTTTGTTTCTCCTATTACTTTTGCAAATTGCGTAATCCAGACTTGCTGGTATTGTGGCGACAGTGTGATGGCCAGCAGGCTTGCCTTGTTCCTGATTTTGAAGCGAATGTTTAAATTTTCTTCTTTTAGTATGAGTTTAGCATCTTTTTAAAAATTTTATTATAGAATCTTTAAATAGAGTTTGTCTTTTTCCTTTCGGCGTTTGTTTCTCCTATTACTTTTGCAAATTGCGTAATCCAGACTTGCTGGTATTGTGGCGACAGTGTGATGGCCAGCAGGCTTGCCTTGTTCCTGATTTTGAAGCGAATGTTTAAATTTTCTTCTTTTAGTATGAGTTTGCTGCAGACATTTTGATAAATGGCATTTATCAAGTTCAATAACTTTACCAAGTTCTCTATATTACTAGGTTCCTGAAACTAAAAAAAAAAAATCACAAATAGATATTGAACATATAAATGCTTTTTTCAGGTTCTATTAACACTGAGATGATCTCATGGTTTTCCTCCTTAATCCATTACATCATGAATAACTAGCTTTTTTTGATGTTTGACCACTCTTCTTAATGGGATAAACTGATAAACCATAATTATGATTGATCTGTTTTTTAAATACTTTGTTAGACTGAGTTAGCTAATACATTATTTGAGATTTTTACATTTATAAGTAAAATTGGGCCATGATTCTTTCCTCCTGTACTTCTTTCTCCGAGTTTGAGATCGAGTTTGTACGAATCTCATAAAATGACTTGATCAGGTTTCTGTCATCTGATATATTTCGAAGCCATTGACATATGATATAGATGAACAGTTCCAAATTGGGCTAAACTCACTCATATAAACGGTCTTTCCTCTTTTTTTGATACACCTAGTGTTGGAAGGTGACTCAACTGTATTTCCTTCCTTAAATTTTTTTGTCATTTTATTCCTTCTAGAGATGTGGGTAAGGCAGCCCCCGCTGGCTGGCCCTGGGCTTGTTTTCATCATGTGACCCTTTACTAGGCTGGGTTGCCATTAAACCAGGAGGGGTCTGGTTCAGCCTTCTTGGCTCGCCAGCATCAGGACCGGTACGATCCAGTCAGAGCAATGCCAGCCTAGCCGCCAAGGTTTTTTGGGCACTGTCTTTACCTTTCTCAGTGTTCTGGAACAATCTACTGCGTTTCTCGCCCCCCGGTTTTGTCCACTGTGTAAGATGTCTCCTCCAGCTCAAATTCCATGGAGGGAGGGGAATTACAGTTCAGGGTCACTGCCTGGGGGAGGCTCCGCTGGGCCCCACAACCCTCTTCTTTTTTTTCCCTAGAGACCCTGCAAGACAGGGCTGAAAGAGACCAGTATGAGCTGCTCTGCCTCGACAATACCCGGAAGCCGGTGGATGAATTCAAGGACTGCTACCTGGCTCAAGTCCCTTTCCACACCATTGTGGCCCGACGTGTGAATGGCAACGAGAATGAGATCTGGGAGTTTCTCAACCAGGCACAGGTATCCATAGCCACAGTCCTACCTGCTTGGGTTTGGTGCTGGGTGGTTCCTTCCTCCCGATACAGTCCTTCGGAAGCCTCACTGCACAGGAGCTTATGAATTCAGTAGCCTGCTTGCCTAGGCTGGACTCTGGCCAGCAGAAACTAGAAAGCCCTTCTGACATTACCGACTGACAGCATCTCATGGGCGGGAACGGAAATGGGGGGAATACGATGCGACACTCTCCGGACTCTAAGGTGTTTGGACACCAGCAATGCTCTAAAGCAGGAGTCCCCAGTCTCTGGGCCGCAGAACAGTACAGGGCCGTGGCCTGTTAGGAATCGGGCCGCATAGCAGGAGGTGAGCGGCAGGAGAGTGAGCGGGAGCTTCATCTGTATTTGTAGCTGCTCCCCAGCGCCAGCATCACCGCCTCAGCTCCACCTCAGATCATCAGGCATTAGACTCTCACAGGAGCACCGGTCCCTGGTGCCAAACAGGTTGGGGACCACTGCTCTGAAGAATAAGCCATAACCGAGCTATGTCACAGGGATGGCACGAGTCCCTTGCAGGGGGAAGTCTCCCTACCCGCAGAATCATCCCTAAGTTCCAGGTACTGTTTTTCGACATCGTGTTTTGTTCCTTTCTTATTTATTCCTGACATCATACATTCTATTTTTCCTTGATTAGGAGAATTTTGGAAATGGCAAGGATCCGATGTTCCAGCTCTTTGACTCCCCTTCTGAGGAGAAGGACCTGCTTTTCAAAGATGGCTCTAAAGGGTTTTTGAGGATCCCCCCGACGATGGATGCTGGGCTGTACCTCGGTTCCAACTACCTCAAAGCCGTCAGGGGCCTGACAGAAAGTGAGTGAGGACAGGCTGGTGTGGGTGGTGGGCCATGGCTGAGTCCATCGGGGAGAGTACCGCACACCCCCTCGTGTGAGAGCAGCGGGCCCTGCTGGCTAAGGGTGCCCTCCCCATCTCCCTGCCACTGAAGGTCTTCACCGTGCAAGGTTTGATGCAGGTGCGAGTGTCTTCTGTTGACCGAGTCAGGGCATTTCAACGTGTGGGCCGTCTCTAAACAAACATGCTGCCACCTGATTCGTGCTGCCGTGCGTCCCCATGGACAGCAGGTTCCCCAGCCCCGACCGAAAAATCAGTTTGCCTCTTATGAAATGAGAAATATGAACATGAACCAAGAGAGCCAGAGCCCCTCCTGGGGTGATTCCCACGGCCTGGGGACACACCACCCTGTGCCTGGGCCCCTGTCTTGCCTGGGGATTCATTCCACAGAGCGCCTGCTCTGCCTTGGCCCTTCCCCTACTGGGGGGCTTGGAGTGGAGTGCGGGTGAATCCAGGGGTTGCATTATAGTTACTAGTGGTGACTGCGAGCCTTATGGGAGGTCAGGGAGGGGAACAAGGTCCCCTATGCCGGCAGCTGCTAACCTATTTGGCACCAGGGACCGGTGTTCCTATGAGCATCTAATGCCTGATGATCTGAGGCGGAGCTGAGGCGGTGATGCTGGCATTTGGGAGCAGCCGCAAACACAGAGATGAAGCTTTGCTCACTCATGGGCCGCTCAGCTCCTGCTGTGCCCCGGGTTCCTAACGGGCCACTGACCAGTACTGGTCTGCAGCCCCGCGGGGTAGGCCACCTCTTGGGGCCGCCACTGTTTCTGTGTCCTGGAGCTTTTACCCCGTGGAACCGAGGTGTTAGGCAAGTCATCATACTTAAGATTGGAGGGCAGATCAGAAGCCAGGAGAATGGAGAATGAGAAACAGCGGGGAAGGGGCTGGGAGCTGAGCGGAGGGGGTGAGGGGGCAGCAAGACTCTTACAACCCGGAGGGAGCTGCCGCAGGAGGGGCAAGCGGGAGGGGCGCTCGGCGTGGAGCCTGGGCCGGGAGGAGATCGGTGGCGCCGGGGCGTCCTTCGCGAGGCCCAGGGCCCCCGGTGACGGCCGTGTCCCTCTGGGCAGCGGTGGAGGAGGTGGAAAGCCTGCGTACGCGGGTCCTATGGTGCGCCGTGGGCCCCAAGGAGGAGAGCAAGTGCCAGCAGTGGAGTGCGCAGAGCAACGGGAAAGTGACTTGTGCCACAGCCAACACCACGGAGGACTGCATCACCCTAGTCCTGGTAGGGCGCCGCCCGCTCTGGGAGCCTGCGTCGCGTGGGGGCGGGACAGCGGGCCTCTGAGAAAAGCCCAGGTGCTGGGCATCTGCTTAGAAGTGACGGGGTGCTAAGACACAGCGCGGGGGCATCTGCTTGGAAGTGACGGGGTGCTAAGACACAGCGCGTGGGGGTTAGGCAGGGGCGGCCGGTAGGGTCTGCTTGGGGCCAGCGAGGGCACAGTGTGCAAATAGGAACAGCTTTCAGTTAAAAAAGCTGAAGCTGTTTATCGAAGGTCATCCAAGGACGAATAGATAGACATCTATTAAAAGTTGAATTCTTAGTGAAAAACTGTCAAAAAATAAATCTCCAGACCCAGCTGGATTCACTTATAAATCCTGCCATCTGTGGGATGATTCTTAGTTTCAATAATGCTCTACGGGGACTCACAGGACTCAGAAAAGCCACTAGTTTACTACTTTAATTCACCCTTAAATTCCTGCAGTTATTGCCACGTTGCCGTGCCCCATGTGGGCATCCCTTTGATAGTCCAGTTCTCCATCGCCCATCTGCCTGACCATATGACCAAGCCATTTGCCACCACCCGTGAGCTGGTAAAACCCAAGCATCGGAGAGAACAGCACGCAGTTCAGCTCGCTGACTGGTTTTCCCTGCTTCGATCGGAGTTTCCCCTTCACTCCGTGGGAATACAGCGGTCTTCCAAATGGGATTCTGTCCGTTTACTTTGGAACTGCCAGCCATAAGCCATGCAGGTGTTTGTCCGTTAATAGCTGTTCCCAGGGTAGTGCTCAGGTGACAGACAGTAGGTTCTAGCAGCTCCTCAGGTGATTCCAAAGTCAGCTGTAGGGTGAATATGATGAGCGCCTCCTTGCTTTCCTCCAGGAGCACGTTACCATATCAACCATTTCCATTTTGTTACGGATCTCTTCTGAACACTGCGTTCCCTACAATATTTCTCCACATCACCCAAGACGTGATGAGTAATTCAGGTTTCAAAATTATTTTACATCTGTCCATCAGTCATAAGGGCAGTTTCATATAATGTCCAATAGCAGGCTAGTAATTCTTTCTTAAGTATCACGTGTCTCACCAGTGCACTGGGAAATTATCTGGTCGAAAATACTAGCGGTCATCTCTGGGTGGCACTCGGGCTTTTGTCATAAACTCCAGTCTAGTCCACGTGGGGCTAAAAGGGAATTTGTCACAGAATTTGTTAGTCCCGCACTCCAGCTTCTAGCATGTCATTCATTAAAGGGGCACTCTCCTTTTGTCCGGTAGGTATTTTATACTGTTGCAAATTAACCGGTACAAGCTCAGCCGATTCTATAGATTTCTAACGAGCATGCCTAACTAATACCGGCTGAAGGATAAATTTAACATGCCTTCTGTTTTATGATACTAGGTAGTAGAAGTATTTCCCTTTCAGACATAATTTTTATTTCAATAATACATCTAGGTAATGGAGACACACCACTCCACATAAAATCTGTTCAAATATTCCAACGTTCATTCGAACTTCTACCTCAATCTCGTCAACTCTTGCATCCGTATATCCTCCCAAATTAACTGGAGCCCCCATTAAGACATCCCCGACAAGTTTTGGAATTACAAAACATTGGGGTCCCACGTCAAAGAGTTCTAGGAAAAATATCTTCTGTACCCCTTAGCCATTTTGCCCACACATGTGCCTATGGTCTTGGGTCCTCTGCCCCTTTCATCAATCCTAATGATGCTTGGTTTGTGAGACTATTGCCTGAGCTGATTTGAGGTCAAGTTTCTTATTACCATATTTGCCTTCTGGCTTTTTAAATCCCTCCAGAGTAAAGTAAACCAAGCAGATTCGTTTAGGGCCCTTTAATGTTGAAAGACCAGCAGGGTCTCCTACCTGGCCAGTTACTCTCTGACGGTGCCACATTAGGGTCTTTATTTTGATCCCACCAATGTCCAATTTCTTTATCCCATTTCTTAATAACCGTTTAAAGATTTCCACCCCGTTGGGACAAGTCCTTTTTTCTTCACTCCGTAGTCCCCCCTTTTCTTGTAAATAAGCCTAATTTTCTTAGCTATCTAAAAGAAAAAAAAAACCCCTGTTTATTGTGGGTTCACCACTCCTCCAACTATGAGAATGACTTGGAAAATATAGAAAGGTAGGATGTTAAATAAATAAATAATGAAAACCTCACACAGCGAGACACCACAGTTAAAGTGCTGATAATCTCCCAGCCCAGGATTTCTGGGTACGTGGATACATGGGCTGGCAACGTACTGGATCATGCCAGTTAGGTAGTTTTTGAGTCGTTTTCACTGAATAGTATATCATGGCCACTTGAATGCATATTCTTTGAAAATACTTTCGAAAAAATAATTTCAGGATATCGTTTATGTGGCTGTGGCTCAGTTTAGTTATGACCCTATTCCTCTTTGTCCCTTTATTTTGTTACTATTAATAACGCTGTGATGATATCCTTGAATAGAAATCTTCATCCACATCTCCAGTTATTTTTAATATCACGGTAAAAAATTTATTACTGGGCCAAAGAGAGAGTTCGGGGAGCTTGATGAATCCATGTCCTAGTTTGGAGTTTGGGCTTATTCGTTCTGATTTGAGCCCATTTCATTCTTTCTGCTCAATTGCTGACCAACTTCTGGATAGCACTCTGAACTGAGAGGAGACAAGGCCAGCTGGCCCCATCTGTCTCAGTGAGTAAGGCTGGTCCAGGAGGGCATCCCAAGAGGGCTCTGAACACAGAAAGGGTTTTGTTTAGAGGACAAAGAGTCAGTGCAGCCTGTGCCTGGTCTTTCCCACGGAAGTGACAGCATGAAAGGCATGTGGGGCTGGCAGAAAGTTAATAGTGCACACGGTGTTTCCTTTGGGCGCTCAGTTGAAACACCCACTGCCTCTTTGTGCTGCTTCGCTGAGACACCTGACATGCAACATTCTGGCAGAGCTATAAAAACAGGGACGGGAAACAGTCTCACTGTGGTGCCGGTGGTTTGCTCTGTCTTGGCAGAAAGGAGAAGCTGATGCTATGAGTTTGGATGGAGGATTTATCTACATTGCTGGCAAATGTGGTTTGGTGCCTGTCCTGGCAGAGAGCCAAAGTAAGTAGGGGGAGCGTCCTCTCTGGTTTATTCCCTTCAGGCCATGGAGTGGGTGTGGGGAGGAGTAACCCCACTCTGTATGTCCAGGTGGAAACATTAAAATGGATGGATACATTCAAGCAGGAGAATCAGGGGAAAGCTTACACAGAAGGGGCCGTGGTACCCACAATGCCTCTTCTGTTGAGAACTGACAAAGCACACGTTGGTTTCGTCCTCTTAATTTTTAAAGATTTTAGTGTACTATACATACAGAAAAGTACACATCAGTGTACAACTCAGTGACATTTCACAAACGGGTGCGTCCCCAGGCACTAGGGCCCAGATCACGACACAGCAAGTTTCCCAAGTTCCCTCATACCCTCCTGTTACCAGCCGCCTTACTCCAGCAAGGGTAACGACTCCCGAATTCCAAGGACACAGATCAGTTCTGCCTGTTTTTGAACTTCATGTAAAAGGAGTTGCACGATGTGTACTTTTCAATGTTTCGTGCTCGGTGTTATGTCTGTGCTATTCACCCACATAAGCGTGTCTTTGTACAATATTCAGCACCATTGCATAGCAGTCTGGCGTGTGGCTCTACCGCTATTATTCATTCCTTCTACTGTGGATGAGCATCTGGGTCATTCCCAGTTGGCAGCTGTTGTAAACAGTATTGCTATGAACATCTGTGTCCATGTCTTTGGGTGAACAAATACATGTATTTCTACTGCCTGGAGCCACTGGGACAGCCTCTAAATTTGATGCTGCATTGTTGAGATTTAAAAGTTTGTCACTTCTCAATAAACCTTGAGTCTTTAATGACATTTTGCTTGTTTTTATTCTTTCAGAATCCGAAAAAAGCAGGAACTCAGATTGTGTGAATAGACCAGTGGAAGGTGAGTTGAAATTGATCACTTTCAGGGTCAAGAGTAAATTCTTGTTGCTGGAGGAAGAGGTGGTGAGAAATTTTGAAAACTCACAGATAGAAGCATGACCATAGAAGCCATGTGTTCTTTTGAAGATGCAAATAATTCATAGGTGAATAATCATAATTAATGTTCATAGTGACGTTCACACTTGGCAGAGAACTCTCAGAGTTTCTCATTGCGTCCTGGCCATGTGGAAGGAGGGGTGTTACATCCCCAGCTCATCTGGATGAGGAAACAGTGGCCCAGGGGTCTCCCGAGGGCCCATCAGGTGCACCCTCTCCAGAAGCGGATTGCCACCACGGTGACCCTTGCACAGGGCTGGTTTGGACTCAGCGCAGGGCGGTGTTTGGAGACACCCCTCTGCATCCAGACAGCACTTAGCCTGGTGACTGCCATTGCTCTGGCCCTAATGCATTTTGCAGTTGGTGATTTATGCACTGTTGGGGTCATGCTTGTTGTCCAGTGTTTGTTGCTTTACACCTAAAGGTGAATTGTTGGTTTATAACTCAGGGACAGTGTGTGGCTGGTCAAGGACTGTCCCCAGCAATTCCTTAAAGGATCATCTTTCCTTACCATCTCATTTCATAGCTCAGATGAATATCATCTTAACATAGGACAGCAGTCCGAACCTTTTTGGTCTACCTAACGATGCCAGTTTGCTGAGGGAGTCATTGCTGGTGACGCTTCTCGACCTGCTTTGGCCTGGGTCGCAGATGGCTGCACTGGAGTCCATACGAGTCATTGCTGGTGACGCTTCTCGACCTGCTTTGGTCGCACATGGCTGCACTGGAGTCCATATGCCAGGCTCCTAGAGGTTAAGATTTGCTCTCTGTCATCTAAGGCTATTATGCTGTGGCGGTTGTCAGGAAATCAAATGCTGATCTCACCTGGAATTCTCTGAAAAACAAGAAATCCTGCCACACTGCTGTGGGCCGGACCGCAGGCTGGAACATCCCCATGGGCCTGCTCTTCAAACAGACAGGCTCCTGCAAATTTGGTAAGGAGTCCTGAGGGAGGTGGGTGGGCCATCCTGGCGGAGGATGGGAGGGTGGGGAGAGGCGGTGTAAGGAACACGGAGCTATGGAACCTCAGGGAAGGGAGGGGACAGGGGATTTGCTGGCCTGCAGCCTCTCTTGGTGTCAGCAAGTTTTCCCTGTAGCCTCCTGCAGCCAGGGATGCTCTGAGAGGTTCTCCACACGCCCCCCCCCGCCCCATGCCCACCCACTCCACTGAAGGAAAACACTGGAACATCAGTCGGTTTCTCTGCACCCTAAGAAGAGATGAAGGGTTTGAGAAATCCGAATGTTATCTATCTATCTATCTATCTATCTATCTATCTATCTATCTATCTATCTATTTATTTATTTATTTTTTACCTCTTGGGGCTCCAGATCTAAATTCCTCACAGGCGCTGGCTTCCTAATTTCGGAAAAGGCACCTCCCTGCCTCACGAAAGGTGACTTCTGTTACTAAACAGAACCGACTTCTCACTCCACACTGCACAGGAAGTGGAGTAAGACCTCCAGGGTCTAGCTCAGCCTGCTTCCGGGGCCTTCTCGCCCCGCCACGTCCCATGCTCACACCCCATGCACAAGCCACGCCCCACCTGCCGTGGGCCTGGTGACGCGAAGGTGCGTGTGGCATGTTCTCGCCGTGGGTCACCTCTCGTGCAGGCCTCTCCTTGGGCGTCTCATGGGGCAGTGCCTGTCATCGTGTCTCCCTCCAAGCCCCTCAGCTGCCTGCGAGCTAGGTGCTCCCCAGCCCCTGCCCGAGACTGGCACGTGGCGTGTGGCTCTTCCTGCTGGATAACGGTGCTGCCTGCTCATCCAGGCAGAGCTTTCTTGCCACTTCGATTTCTGCTCTTCTTAACCCACATCCATTCGTGTCCATCCCTTCGCATGGTTTAAATTACCCGATGGGTTGGTTCAGATTAGATTCCGCTACACAGACAGAAAACTCCAAGTAGCAGAGGCTCAGGCAACATAGACGTTTATTTCTGTCTCATGCGAGTGAATTCCAGAAGCGCATTGTCCAGAACTAGTGTGATGGTGGCATGGTGTCAGGGACCTGGGCTTCCAGCATCTGGCTCCTCTCACATAGGTGGCTTTCTTGCTCAAAGTCTCTTTCATGGCCCATGTTACAACAGGAGGTCCAGTCCCTGTTTCTGCATTCCATGTGTAGAATAGAGGAAGGGGGGGGTGTGGAAAAGGAGGGCTAAAGGCATGTGCCAGCTACCTTTTAAGGCTGTTTCTAAGATGCTGGCACACAGCACTCCCACTCCTATGTCACTGGCCGGTACCTTGCTGCATGGCTGTACCAGCCACAGGGCATCAGATAGGGTTAGTCTTTATTCTAGGGTACCAGGCACCCATGTAAAAAGCAGAGTTTCTATTACTGAGAAAGAAGGGAAGTCAGGTCCTGGATAGGTGACCAGCAGATTACGTTGCCGGTGGCAATATCATGAACCTGAACCAAGCTGCGTCCCCTGCTAGGTAAAGGTCACTTGTGTTAACTCAGGTAGGGAGTGCTGACTTCCCATGTCTCTTCTCTGCAGGTGAATTCTTTAGTCAAAGCTGTGCCCCCGGGTCAGACCCAAGCTCCAGTCTCTGTGCTCTGTGTATTGGCAATGATTTGGGCCAGGACAAATGTGCGTCCAACAGCAACGAGAGATACTTTGGCTACAATGGGGCTTTCAGGTGAGTGTTACGGTTGAGCTCCACCAGGCTAGGGCCTTGTGCCTCATCCTCCAACATCTGGGCACTGCATTTCTAAGGTGGCCAGACATGGCCTGTTACAGCAGAGCCGGGGGTCACCTTGGGGGTCTGCTCACGGGCAGCACCAGGGAGGGCTTCTCCCAACATACTCACCACCCGAGAGCGGAGGCTGACACAGGGGCTGTCTGACTTCGGCTCTGTTGGGCTCCTCTCTGTGGAACCTGGAACCAAAGTCAACCTCAGTGAGCCTCAATGTCCTCATCCTCCAAATCAAATTTATAGAGTACGTGGCATCTTAAGTCCTTGCTACGATTCGGTTTGATGGGGAAGAATTTTCTAATCTAGGGCCATCATGTTTCACACTTCACTCTTCTCCTTGATTTTGGCCTTAGAAATGAAATGGCAAAGAAAAATCAGCACTGCCATGTTATTCTCTGCTGATGAAGTGAAAAATAAACAAAAAATAGGTTTTCAGAATTATGACCACCGAGTGATCTGCAGTAACTATCCGCAACCCACGTTTTGCAATCTCATCCATCGGACGTTGTTTTTCAGTGGTACTTACCAGGTTAGGGGTTTGAAGGGCACAGTTTTCCTCCATCCCTTTCTCTCCAGTCTCCAAGAATAGATTTCACCACCAGGTGGCGTCATATGTCTGAGAATGTCCGGGATCAAACTCTGGTCTTTGAACTTTTTAATAACAAATTCAGTAGCTTTCTTCCCAGCGGCGGGATGATACAAAATAGCTTTTACTCTGCCCTCAGAGACTCATAAGAAAATAATTTGTGAACGTACAAAAATATCTGTAAGGGAAATGTGCAAATGGAAAAGCTGCGATGAGATCCCATTCAGAAATATCAAATCAACACGCATCTGAGAAAAACCCAAAGAAATTATGTAGTTCCTCTTGCAAACCTGTGGGAAGGGATCATTTCACTGACACACCTACACTTTCGCATTTATACCAGAATAAAGTGCTTTGCCTTTTGTTCAAATCGAAAGCTGAAACCAGAAGTCCTATTTACCTCTATATTTATAACTAACATCCGTATATTTCTGGTTCTTAATTTTTAACTGTCAGCTGTTTTCTGCTTTCTGTTATGGAGAAAGATGATCTAACCTCTCCTTCTGCTCCTGTGCTTCTGGTTATAACCACAGACTTCACTTCCTTTTGGCTCCCAGCAAGATTATGTCATATTCAGTGCTTACAAGATAATGAATATATAAATATTATTCTCATATGAAACATGTGATAATGGCATAAGATTAAATTTCCCTTGTTGTACAAAGTTTTTGTATGTTCTGTACAAAGTTAACAGATGTCTGATTGATAGATTTTATTTTCCGTGCTTTAAAAAAAAAAATCACTAAGTCATCTCAAAACCCTCTACCAGTAGTGCAGTTCCTAATGAGACGCGCATAAACAGAGTGGGTGCTGTCTCAGCTTGCCATTTCCTTGGGACTGTCCCTCCCGGAGACCTCAGTCCTCCTGCCCAGTCTGGATGCGCCTTCCAGCCCCCCCTGCACATCTGTGGTTCTGGGATTCCCCTTGACCATTGTTCTAGAACTTCCTTTTGTCTTACTTCATGTTAAAGTGCCCATTTTCTGTATCCCATATCATTAGGTGTCTTGGTTTTGTTGGAACAGAACATGTCTTTTGGAGAAAGGGTGAATAGGAGTTGCTATTTTTTGAGTATTTATGTGTCTGAGAACATCTTTATTTTACCCTGGAAGTGATTTATAGTTTGGCTGAGTAACTAAGTGTAGGTTAGAAAACATTTTCCCTAGGAATTTTGACAAGATTTCCATGTCTGAGAAATGGCAGCATTAGGCTATTTTTCTCAACTTTCTCACTGAAAATAAGCACACATGCTGGATTAGGTGTATATTTCTGGTTCTTAATTTTTAACTGTCAGCTGTTTTCTGCTTTCTGTTATGGAGAAAGATGATCTAACCTCTCCTTCTGCTCCTGTGCTTCTGGTTATAACCACAGACTTCACTTCCTTTTGGCTCCCAGCAAGATTATGTCATATTCAGTGCTTACAAGATAATGAATATATAAATATTATTCTCATATGAAACATGTGATAATGGCATAAGATTAAATTTCCCTTGTTGTACAAAGTTTTTGTATGTTCTGTACAAAGTTAACAGATGTCTGATTGATAGATTTTATTTTCCGTGCTTTAAAAAAAAAAATCACTAAGTCATCTCAAAACCCTCTACCAGTAGTGCAGTTCCTAATGAGACGCGCATAAACAGAGTGGGTGCTGTCTCAGCTTACCATTTCCTAGGGACTGTCCCTCCCGGAGACCTCAGTCCTCCTGCCCAGTCTGGATCGGCGCCTTCCAGGCCCCCCTGCACATCTGTGGTTCTGGGATTCCCCTTGACCATTGTTCTAGAACTTCCTTTTGTCTTACTTCATGTTAAAGTGCCCATTTTCTGTATCCCATATCATTAGGTGTCTTGGTTTTGTTGGAACAGAACATGTCTTTTGGAGAAAGGGTGAATAGGAGTTGCTATTTTTTGAGTATTTATGTGTCTGAGAACATCTTTATTTTACCCTTGAAGTGATTTATAGTTTGGGTTTCATCAAATATAAAATGCTTTGAAAACTATTTTCTTGAAAACTTTTTGAGTTTAAAAAATAACAATAAAAATAGTATAAAAAACTATTAAAAAAATCTCCAGCATTCTGAAACTAACAAATAAGCACACATGCTGGATTAGGTACACACACACACACGCGCGCGCGCGCGCGCGCGCGCGCACTCTTAAAACATTGAATAACTGACAAAGGAATAAGAAATAATTAAATTAAAATCTAAGGGAGAATAGGAATCCAGAGAGCTAAGCGGAACAACGTTGCCCCGAAGATATTTGCCTTACTTGACAAACTTGAACCCAGAGGTTACATACACCATTAAGGTAAGAGTGGACCAGAAGGACGTTCCATGCTTTCTCCAAGGAGACTTCGAATTGCCTAGATGCTGAGGAAAAGAGGGAGGAAAATGCACACCGTCCCTGAGAAATTGAAACCATGAGCCAGCTCTTGCATGAATCTGTAGCTCAAACTTGTGTCTCCTAGAAGGTCCAGAAATTCTCAACATAAATATATGTATAATTTTAAAGTGGTCCCAGACCAGTAGTTCCTCTAGGAACTTGTCTGAAAGTCAGCATATTCAGGATAGGTCTCAAAGGCTGCTCAAAAATATTCTTTCAATAATAATGAGCAGTATACAGTAAAAAGTAATTGTAATAATATTAACCAAATATACAAAGAAAAAAGTCATCAGAAGCAAAATCCAGCAGGAGAAGCAAGTTAACATTTTTAAAAAGAATGAATAGAATTTCTATAAAGGAAAAAAAATACAGCAATTGAAATTAGCTACGCAACTGGCCAGGTTAACAGAATAGACAGAGCTAAAAAGAGAATTAGCGAAGCATAAGATGAACGAAAAAAATTATCCAGACCATAAGAGAGACAGAAAATATAGCAAATTTAAAGCATTAATTCATTGTCTTCTGATTTCTAGAGTTTCTGTTGAGAAATCTGATACTATTTTTGATTCTCGATTCTTTGTACATGACCTTTTTTCTTCTTGAAAACTTTTTTTGAGTTTTCAACAACTTATTTTATTTGTCTTCCTATTTCTGAGAGAATAAGCTTCAGAAGACTTATGAGGTGTTTTAGACAAACAGTTCTACACAAAGAATATTTTGTAAAGAGTATATTAATCAGACACATATGATTTCTATTTCTCTCTAAATTTACAGAGATTTAACAATGAATGAAAAATACTCTTTAGGAAAAATGAGGTTTGGGTTTCATCAAATATAAAATGCTTTGAAAACTATTTTCTTGAAAACTTTTTGAGTTTAAAAAATAACAATAAAAATAGTATAAAAAACTATTAAAAATATCTCCAGCATTCTGAAACTAACAACGATATTTCTTTATGTGAGACTTTTATTTAATTCATTGGCTCAGGCCCTTGGCGGACCCTTTTGTCTAGATTCTCAAGTTCTTCAGTTTTGGGAAATTTTACTTTGTTATTTCTTTGATAATTTTTATCCTGTTTCCTCTGATTTCTCTTTAAACTTTAATTCTTAAGTTATAGACCCTCCTGGATTATCATATCATTTTCGAACTATTTCTTTTTTATTATTTGCTCTTCTATACCTTTTAGTTTCTGGGATATTTGTTCATTTTAATTTTTCAATTATTATATCATTTTTAGGAATTTTATGATTATTAATCTTTTTTTTACTTTCTAAAATCTCTTTTTCTAGTCTGTTTCTATTTTAGATCTTCCCATTCTTGTCTCATGAATGCCATATCTTCTTTCATCCCTTGAATGATGTTAATTGCAGCTTAAATTAAAATATTTTATTCTCTCTCCTCTATTGTCTCTGTATCCTCTGAGTATCATTGCTTTGGTTTCCATCTTTTCTGATATTTCTCCAAATATCCAGTGGTCTCTGGCCATTGGCCCACACTTAAGAGTGATGAACCAGAATTGACCGTTAGCTCTGCATCAGTTGCCTCATCTTGGCGAGTACGGACCTCGCTGTAGGGCAGTTGGTTTGTGTCATTTCACTGTGGGGCATCCACATATCAGAACCTATAGGTATTTTCCTTGAGTTGATCAGATACTCCAGACAAGTATCTCTCTGTCTCTCTCTTTCTCTGTCTCTGTCTGTCTGTCTGTCTGTCTCTCTCTCACACACATACACACACACACACGCACGCACACACACCCACCAGCAGTACCTAGTAGCCTCACACACACACACACACACACACGCACACACATCAGCAGTACCTAGTAGCAAATATCTTCCTGGTTTTGTCTAGACGACTACATAAGCACAACATCTGCCTCTCCCAGCCTATGGGAAACTGAGTGTGGATGATGCTAAAAAAAAATGGAACATATCCAGAGAAGTATCTGATCAACTCAAGGAAAGTACCTATAGGTTCTGCTTCTCGGGAGCCTGAGAAGGGTAAGGGGCTATGATTTCACCTTCCAGGACGTAGATTTTCACTCTGCTCTTTGATTTCGGTGTTGGGTCTCTGTCCTCAGCTCTGTTTCGTTGTCTGGTCCACGGTCTTGTTCAAGTTCAATTTCCCTGGGAACAGACCTTCAGTCCTCTTCCAGGGTGAGGGGAACAATCACCCAGCTGCATGGGATAGGAAGGTACCTAAACTGCATCTGCGTAGGCTCTATCCAGTCCCCCCGTTCTCAGCCTCTTTCCGTGGAGTCCAGTTCTTCGAACTGTTGAGGCTTTCTGGGGCTCTGCAGTGCACATCGGCTTTCTTCTGGGCCTCCCCCATTCCGATTTACATTCCAGCTCTCTTTGCTCTGCTGGGTCAATTACTGCTCATCCGTCATTATTATCTTCTCTCTCTCGTTGCTCTCTTCTCGCTCATGGATTTATAGCTTTTTAAAAAATCTCATAAATATCATTTTATTGGGATTTTAGAATCCCGTATGTGTTCAATCTTCTGTTTTAAACCATACGTTTCTGGAAAGATTTGTCTTTATCTTTTCCACGTTTACTTTCGTGTTGCAGATTTTGGAATGGATATTGCAAAGATTTATGAAAACTCTAATAGTTTGTCTTTTCTGGCAATGTGTTTTGTTTTTCTCCCCGGAACATTTTAGATGCCTGGCTGAGAATGCTGGAGACGTCGCATTTGTGAAAGATACCACTGTCCTGGATAACACTAATGGTAAGTGTTTCCTTTTCCCCCTCAGAGCAAAGTCTTCAGCATCACGACACATCCTAGCCTTGAGATTTGCAGCTGGGAAGATAGTATACCCTTTTCTAGACTTTTGAGTAAGTTAATTCTGAAAATTTTTTTTTACCTAAATATGGTAATGTCTACAGGTGTCATTGATTTTGAAACAGTTCTCTCTCCTCCTCCTCCTCCTCCTCCTCTTCCCACTTCCTCCTTCTCTCTCTCTCTCTCTCCCCCTCTCTCTCTCTCTCTCTCTCTCTCCCTCTCTCTCTCCCCCCCCCCGCGCTCTCAGACACACCCCCCACAGCCGC